TCCAGATTCAGCCGCTGTTGAAACTGATCAGTTTCAGCAGCAGCTGAATCTGGACGCCAGTTCCGACTTACATACAGATTCAACTTAAGAACAAACCTACAGTCCTTATCTTGTACGTAACCCGGGGACTGCCTGTTTTTATTATGTTTCATAGAGTGAAGATCTGGTCTGTACATCCATGCCCTTTCCAAAAAACATCTTGCTCTTTTCTGAGAATGCTATCAAGTGCCTTTGATGTATGCTGGATATTATACAATACTTCGCTAGGCACAGATAAATGTTATACTACTCTAGTTATTAAAATCACTGAGAGTTCCTTTACATAAGAACATAAGAACGGTCATACTGGGTCAGACCAAAGGTCCATCTAGCCCAGTAGCCTGTCTGCTGACAGTGGCCAGCACCGGGTGAACCGAAGACAATGATCAAGTGATTTGTCTTCTGCCATCCTTCTCCAGCCTCTGACAAACAGAGGCCAGGGACACCATTTCTATCTCCTGACTAATAGCCCTTTATGGATCTAACCTCCATGAAATTATCTAGCTTTTCTTTAAACTCTGTTATAGTCCTAGCCTTCAAGCCTCCTCTGGCAAGGAGTTCCACAGGTTGACAACACGCTGTGTGAAGAAGAACTTTCTTTTATTAGTTTTAAACCTGCTACCCATTAACTTTGTTTGGTGTCCTCTAGTTCTTTTATTATGGGAACTGATAAATAACTTTTCTTTATTCGCTCTCTCCACACCACTCATGATTTTATATATCTCTATTGTATCCCCCCTCGGTCTTCTCTTTTCTAAACTGAAAAGTCCCAGTTGTTTTAACCTCTCATCATATGGGACCCCTTCCAAACCCCTAATAATTTTAGTTGCCCTTTTCTGAACCATTTCCAAGGCATAAATATCTTAAAATATCTTTCTTTAGTATCTTCTCTGTAACCCTATTGGTTCACTCATCTGACACTTTTCCCCTTCCCAGCTGATATAAATAGAGAAGCCAGGATAGATGCTGCTAATTCAGGATTTATCTTGGACAATTCTGTATTCAAAAGCTTCAGAGGCGAAGCCAAGTTAGTTTGTAACAGGAGAAACTTTAAAAACTACAAATAGACTATTAGCACCTGAAAGACCAACAAAACATGTAGATTTTATTATGCGCTTTCGTGGGCATAACTCACTTCTTCAGATGACAAGAGTAGGGGGGGGGGGGGAAATGAAGGCTCTCTGTGTTTCAGGGGACCTTACTTTGTTAGTGTTATAACCTGTGTCACTTGTTTAGTGGATACACACTTCTCGGTTTGAGTCTGACGGAGGCTGTCACAAGGTGGTGATCTCTGCCAACATCTGCCCCCTTTCTCGCTTCCACATCTGCCACTGAGCATCACCATTTGCCATTGATCATCTTGTAATCAGTCTGGTTCTTAGCTCTACTGTTTGGTGAACACCATGTCAGCTTGTGAATTTCATGATCTTGAAATAGGGTTCTGCCAATGATTAGATCATTAGATCAATGATGGAGAGAGTGTTATCACCATATGGTAAGACTGCATCATTTTGTTTTTAATACAGAACAGAAATTTATGGTGAACGCTTCTGGATTTTCTTCTTCATTACTGATTATTCTATCCCTTCTGTCTACAAATGGCTCGATACCATTGTCAAGATGCTTTCTGTTTCAAATATTTTAAAAATTCATTCTTATTGTCTTTATTTTTGCTGGTCTACTTATGTCCCTTGTCTTCCCTCATCAGATTTCCATTTCCTAACTTCCCATTTCTTTCATGTTACATATTTTAATTTTTCACAGCTGCCTTTACTTCCCCTCGAAGCCAGGTTGTTTTTTAACCAGCACAGCCTTCTCCCTCAGTTGTGGCTTTCTGGGTATCTAGCAAATTGGTTTTAAATTATTCCTAATTATCATTTACTTTTTTCTGATTAAATTCTTCCTCCAAGGTGAATTGGCTCATAATTGTTTTCAGCCTTGTGAAATTGGCCTTATTAAAGCACCAAATGTGTGTGTATAAGTAGTGTGGACTTTATCATACTTACACAGTATGACCGGGATCAAGCTGTGATTGCGTGTATCTAAGTACCATTACCTTTTATTTCTGTGCTCAGTTTCTCTTCAGCTGTTAGGACAAGGTCTAATACAGAATTGCCAGTGTTGGCTGCAAGTTAGGAAATTGTCATCTATAATATTTATAATAAAAATTCCAAGGATGTTCTAGTACTGGCAGCATGAAATCTCTAGCGTCTCTTATTCGGATTGGGATCCCTGATGATCACAAAGCTCTCCCTCTCTCCCCCTCACACACACACACATATAGTAGAGAGGAACATCAGGAGCCAGATTCCTGTTACCTACCATCAAATCACACTAGGAAGCGGTAGTCCTGGAGGAATTCTGCAATTATAGCATTTGGAGCCACAGTAAAATTGCAGAATTCCCCCCAGGGCTGGTATCGGACGCCAACTAGTATCCCATCTCTTGCTTTAATTGTTCTGACACTGATCCACAAGCCATTGAGAGATTTTTTTTCCGGAACTATCGGTGTCCCCCGTCCAGGACAGGGCTCTTCTCTTACTGCCTTCTCTAGGGCCACGAGCACCCTGAACACCTGGTCTTGGCCTCTGTCTAAGCCTAGGTTAAACGCCATGTCTTGTTGATGGGGAGGAGAGTGGAATCCACATGTTCTCTGGGTTAATAAGTATTTTCTTTTTCTCTGATAAACCAGAACCTCGTTCAGTCTAGTTTTTGTATCTGGTTCTGTGCTTAGCCCAATGGAAGACCAGGTCATCTTGTCCGCATACGTCCGGGAAAGGCGTTCATATAAAATTTTAGCTGCACTTACAAACCTAAGTGACACTGTGTGCACTGCCCAAAAGATACGGCTCTGCGAGGTGCTTTATTCCAAAAGGCAAGTCAGGGCCTTGTATATGATCACACCAAGTGCCTGAAGCCTCTCACTGAGTAACTGAATGAAACTGTGTGTGTCTTAAAACTGAAGACATCATGTGTGTACAGTATTGCAAGGTGGCATTGCACACTAGATACCAAATCAATCAATGAAAATAAAACTAGTAAGAAAACAAACTGAGTCCTGCCCAGACGTTTGCTTTTTATTATGAGCTGCATGATGGTGATTCAAGCTCAGTTTTTTTTCTGTAACCTGCCTTTTTACAGGAATTGCCTGAATGCATTTTATATAATCTGTTAATTATCCAATTTGTATATAAACAACAAATATGTGAATCTCAACTGTATGCGTCTGTGTTAAGTAGCTGTTCCTGTAAAAGCTCTATTAGTTTGTAGGAACCAATGCAGGCAGTCCCCGACTTACGCGGATCCGACTTATGTCGGATCCGCAGATACAAACGGGGCTGCCCCAGAGTACACGGACTGCGGGACCTCGCGGTCCTGCCACCCATGTACTCTGGGGCTTTCTCTGCGTCTCCCTGGTCTGCAGACCAGGAAGACGCAGAGCAAAGCCGCGGAGGGGCTCGGGCAGCGGGGCAGCCCTGCTGCCCGATTTCCCCCCCCTCCGCGCAGCTTTGCAAAGCCGCGGGGAAGCCGGCGGCGGGGCAGGACAGG